TAAGAAGCGTAAACTGACAGCGGCCCTCCCCTTTTATATTTGCCACTGTGAATTTCCAAGGAAATGAACACTGAAACTAAAATGATCAAGCTTTTTCTTTCTTTTTTCTTAAGTGTTACTGAATATTAGTAGATGGGAAATGTTTTGATATTGTATTGTGCAACAGGAGTAAGGAAAATAGTTTGAATACTGAACTTCAAATGCTCCTGATGAATTGTGCATGAATAAGCTACAGCTCAGGAGCTGTTCAGAGAAAATACTCTCCAAACAAATGTGAAGGGAGAATGAATAAATAAGAAATCTGTGATCTGTTTACAGAAAATTCACAGGAAAAAAGCTCTTTGGATGCATTATTTTGCTGTTGCTGGAGGATGCAGATTTCAAGAATGGGCAAGGAGCCTAAATCCCAGTGCCATTCAAGAATGTGATGCCTCTGACTACTGAAAGTGAGACTTACACATCTTTGAATGTTTTACCTTTGTTCCCTCAGGCATATGAGTCCCCAGCTCCAGCAGCATCCTTTCACACAAGTTACAGCAGGATGTTATGCACAGTAGAATACAACAGGATGATATGCACAGCATCTAGCATGAATACAGGGACACAATTTGGCCCTATCTTTAGCAAAATTACTTGAAATGTTTTTGTAGTTCAAGAACATCCTTTTCAGATGCTATGAAAAGACAAACTGTTCAAAAAAAGGATGAGAACAACAAAGTTAATTGCCATAAATTTATTAAACAAACAGAAGCTGTTCACCTGAAAAAGCATCAGGAGCAGGACATCATGTGGACTCCCAGGTGATCCAGGACAGTTCTGGAAGGGTGGTTGTTATGAGGTGAAACACTGTTTAAACTGTTTGTGTGGGTAGTAACATGTATGTTGACCCAGGGTCTTGAATTAGCAATGTTAAGACTGAAAATCTAGCACAATAGTATAGTCATAAGCAAAAAAAATTTGGAAGCTGAAACACAATAAGTTGTTTTATTAGATTTCACTAGGTATGAAAGTAATTTTCTTTGGACCACAATTCCATCCCAAACAATCATTCCCAGTGTGAAAAAAAAAAAATCCTCTCAGATGCTTTTACTGGGAACGAGGTTGTGCTGCTTTCAAAATGTAAGATATCATGAGGGCAGTTTCATTTGTTGATCCACAGTATCACACAAGACAACCACAGAGGAAGAAATTGCCATCTAAACTGCAAGAGAAAACTGAAGTACTTGTTAGCTTGTGGTATGTATGTCAGTGAAGTGAAAAGCTTGTCACACACCTGGGTTTTGGATTGCGTTGTGCTGGGCTCTGCCATAAAATAAAAGCAGCATGGCAGAGCCTGGGGCAATGGCACAGCCAAAGCAGGTGTGTAATACACCCTTCATGGCATGCAGGCTACATTCTTCCCAGCACTGCAAACAGCTAGTGGAGAAGCTTGCAAAATACAGCCCTCACTCATATACTCCCGTGCTGCTTTAGGTGTATCTCAGTAACTGAGGGGCTGCTCTTGACTACCAAATATAATCACCTGATGTGAAGCTTGAATCTACATCCCTTATTAATGAGTCCTCAGGCGGGTTGCCAGAGGTGACAGTATCTGCCAAGGAACGCAATGCTCAGTGCGAGGATGGGTTACCGAATCTTAGTCATAATTATCAATGCACAGAAGAGATTCCTCCCCTTGTTCAAACCAGCATTACTCAAGTTCCGTGTAACACAGGGGACCTTAGTACCTCTGCTCCAAAGCCATTAATCAAATTTCACAACTCTTTGCAATGGGGATTGAGGCTCTTTGTTTTAGTACAGTGCCTGCTGCAATGTGGTCCTGAGCTGTGCCACTGCAACAAAAGAAAATATAAATTTCCCCTGAGTTTGTAATTAAATGAAGGTTTGTATAAATCATTATAAATGTAGAAGATTGTAAGAAAACATCTAGAGTAAAACCTGGTACTTATACTACCATTCACGATATTAATTATGAAAGTTGATAAGACTTTTCAAATCCAATATGCCTTCTAATTGATTGTTTTGCAACTCCAGATGCTTGGGCAATAAAATACACTGAAGTCAAATTCACCAGATCTGTGCTTTCAAAAACTGCATGTCAAAAGCTTGACATTTCTGACTCGACAACAGGGTGAAAATCTTCAAGTATCGATTTAGAACCTAATTCTCATTTAAAAAGCTCTTTTGGAAAAACAAACAAGCAAACCCTTAAGTACATGAGTTACACAGAAACCTCTTAAATGTTAGCCTAGATTTTACAGTCACTTACTGTGGGTTTTTAATTTGGAGGTGCAACTTACCTGAAAAATTAGCCAAGGTGACACCTGTAAGGCTGCTAAATCCACTTCCCAATGCAAACTTTTTGACACTTGGAATTTTTGTCTAAGTATGAAAACTGGAGATTTATATTTACTTCAAATGAGTTTATGAAGGGTATGCAGTGGTTTTTAAGGACATTAAAGGTAACAAAAAGATAAACTTACATTATATGTACTTTTAAGTCACTAACTTTTGATTCAGCTAGGACAACACTTCCCCAGCCAGGTTCTATCATGGAAAAAAAACCAACAACAAACTATTGGAATAAATCCAGGCAATTTGCACTTTCTAATGCCAAATCCCTGAATTATCTCAGTCCTTTAATTCTTGTGTCAAATCTGAAGTTTAGTAAGCTGGGCTAATAATTCTGCTTATCTCATAGGGAGAAAGGTAAAGAGCCCTTGGAACAGGCTAGCTCCTGTATAGGCAAAATCCAGTGTGGTGACATTAGGGATGGCGCCAACATAAGTGCTGTCAGTGCATGGAGGACCTCTGAGGAAGCTCTGTGACTCAGGCACACGGAGCATCCTTGAATGCCCTTTGTTATGCATAATGGAGCACAGAAGTATTTGAAAGCACATTTTCCAGAGAAGACCTTTATTTAGCTATTTGTTGCTGTTGCTAGAACCATTTTCTCCTGGTTGATGTGTACCTACTTCTAGTAGAAAAGTGATGACTGAACACCTCAGGCTGCAGTACCTTTGTTCCTCTGTTACCCACAACACCTTGGGTACTGGGAAAAGACTTGCTTTCTCCTCAGGCTGAAAGTTTGTCGTCCCAGTGCCATCACTTCTGTCACAGCTGTGAAGCAGCCATGCTCCCCTGTGCACCTACTCCAGGGCAGAGAGGCTGACAGGCTGGCAGCCACCAGGGATCCCCAGGCAGGGCTGCAGGGACATCATCTTGAAATTGGGATGGACCTATTTAATGAGGTCACTGAGCTACTAACTAGAAACTAAGCCTGGAACTATAGGTATTACTCCTGGGAAGCCCCAAAACATCAAAAATAAATTAACTCCACTTAATGGAGAAGCAAGCCCTCCCTCCCCTGTCCCTCGTGGCAGTAGATGTGCCCGTCAGCTGGTGCTGCAAGGAATACATCTTCCATGTGTGACATCTTTCAGGGGTCTCTTTTCTTGCCTCTGCACAGCTTCCTGTAGCACAAGGAAAACAGTAAATACCCATCTCTCCCAGCAGAGGAGAGATGCTCCCAACTTACAGAGTTAAGGCAAAACTGGTGAACAAACACCGTATGTGGGGAACTACTCGGTTGACTACCAACCTGAGACATAAGGCTGGAGAGTATGAGCTCAGGTGGTGAGCGTGTGCAATCAAAAAAACTCTTTTTCAGAACATGCTACAAGTTGAGAATTTCCTTTACACCATTTATTACAGCCTCAGGACTTAACCCATTGGGTTATGGTGGAGCCTTAGTGTTTTCCAAACTATGCCATAGTGCTTGAAGTGGATGGGATTTGTCCCCTTAAAAGATATAGTGCAGCCAGAAGATGGAGGGCTGCAGTGCTTTAGTTGGAAATAACTGCTTAGAGTTACTGGGTAAATCAGCCTGTTGGACTTGACATGCACCTTTCCTGGTGCACCTTCCAGGCATACCCATGTGCACTTCCCAGAACAAAATCTGCCTTGTTCTATGCTTGTACAAAACGAAGAATATTTCTTTCCTGTCACACTGCAGCTTTGTGTCAGCTGCCGTGGAGACAAAACCTGCCCCCACCCCAAACCTAGAGATGGGAACAGTCTGGGCAAATCCTTGGGAAGGGCATTAAAGCTGGGGGGCAGGTGGGATGGAGCCTCCCTAGGGCAGGCAGCTTCCGTGGCCCTTGGGAAACCCTCCTGCAGCATTAGCAATGCTGCTACTGTTTTCCTGCCAGGGGCAGAAGGCAAAGCCAAAGTGTCTGGGAAGATCCCAGCTGTGCCTCGGAGGAAACTGCGCTCCTTGCCTTGCATTCAGCTCTGCTTGATGGAGCTTCTGGGCTGGAGAAGGCAGTGGTCTCCAGAGTACCATGGTGTGGGAAAGGCTGTGGGGCTGTTGCCCCCTGGCATCGGCAAACCTGGCGTGTGAGTAGCTGGGTCTGGTCATGGCTGGGTACAGCCTGTCTGGGCTCTGCAAGGGGAAAGGCAACTTAAATCAAAACCCAAAACAAGCCCTAGAAAGCAACAGTAAAAGCCAGGTAAGCCGGGCTGAGCAGTGAACCTGTAGGCACTGCCATCCAACTGAGTGGGATTTGGTGGGGGCATGGTGAAGGCAGAGGCCAGTGGAGGCATTTTGGGAGGTGTAAAGAGGAAGGAAGGGTAAGGTCTGGAAGCAAGCAGCCTCAGCCTTAACAGAGAGACCCTGGGAGGCACACTGGGACACGTCCCCCAGGGATGAGGAGGTTCCCGACATCCCTCCTGATGCTCCCCTTGCCCACCACCCCGTTGCTTGTGTGATCAGACGGGTGACCGCTGGCCGGCATGGACCTCCCCACCCTGCATGTTGTGTATCCCTGAGGGTGGGAGCGTCCTGAGGGCGTGCAGGGTGTCAGCCCCACGACGACGGTGCGGGGACGAGAGCTCCAGGGGTGTAGCAGGGTCTGTCCAGCGCGGCCCCGGCTCCCGGGGCTCCTCCCGGGAGGGCTGTGTGTGTGAGTGAGTGCTTGTGCGTGTGCACCAGCATCCCCGTGAGGGTGTGTGCGCCCGCGGGTGTGCGCGCAGGGGGCGCGGGCGGGGGAGGCGAAAGGGGCCGGTTCTGCAGCGGGTGGCTCCCAGCCTCCCCCGCCCCCTTCCCTCTGGGTCCGCTCCTCGCTCCGGCTCGCATTCTATCGCAGGCGGCCGGCGCAGCCCCCGCTCCCAGACCCGGCCCCGGCCCCGGCCCCCGCCCGCCCCCGGGGTGGAGGCAGCAGCACCGCTCCGAGCCGCCCGTGGGAAGAAGGCAGCGCTCCGCCGGGCTCCGCACCCGCTCCGCGCCCCTCCGCGGGGCCATGCAGCGCCCCTGCCCCCCCGCTGCCCCTCGCCCCGCCGTCCCCTGCGCAGCCTGAGCGCCTCGCAGGGGCTCCGCGCCCGGCGGTGGGACGGGGCTGGCGGAGGCACAGGCGGCACAGAGAAGCTCCCCGGCTGCTGCGCGACTCCCCGCCTGCCCTGGCCATGGGGAAGGGGCTGGAGGGGACGGCGGCCCGCTGTGGGCTGGGACTGGGATACCTGCTGCAGACCGTGGTGCTCCCCGCCCTGGCCGTCCTGGGGGCCAGCCGCCCCGGCTCCGCGGCTCAAGGTAAGGCGGAGGGCGGGTGAGAGGGGCCGGGGCACGCTCCGGCTGCGGGCTGAAAGGGCGAATTGGTGCCGTGATTTATTTTATACATTTCAGTTTTCTTTCCTGTGTGTATATGTGCGAACGGCGCATTCCCCTTCATGCACTGCCCCCGCCGGACTCTGGGGTCCGCGGGTCCCCTCCTGGTAAGGTCTGCGGCTGCTCAGCCTGGCTGGGACAGGCGTTTCCCCGCACGCCGCCCTGAAGCGGGGTCCCGTGGTTGGCAGGGGCTGAGTGAGCCCCAGGGGCAGCCCTGGGGCGGGGTGCAGCGGGGGCCGGCAGGTGCGGAGCGAGTATCCCTGCCGCTGCACGGCCGAGCCTCGGGCTCTGCAGGCCGGGGTCATTCGTGAGCCCCCATCGCTCTCACACCCTTCTCCTTCTCGCCTCAAACCTTATGGATCCGAAGGGAGTTACCGTGTGCCTACGTTTCTGCTTTATTGTTTCCCTTTTTTCCTCCCCTGTCGGGGGTCCTGGAGTACCCCTAGGTCCGTTTTCCCTGTAGCCCATGTCTAAATTCCCCTTTTCCAAATGGCAGTGTCTTACTTCTCAGTGTGCTTTGAGCGATGTCTTGAGAGCATCACAAAGAGCCCAGGCTCTCTGTGTCACCCACCAGGCAGACAGCCACAGCAGGGGGCTGTTTCTCCTGTGAGCTGATACCGGATAAACTTTCTCGGTGCTTTTCTTCCCTCTTCCCAGGAGTTAGACCTAAAGTGGAAATGCGTGGCTTTTACTGAGCACTGGAGAGAGAGGTTGCTGCTGCATGTGGGCAGCGCTGTGTATAGCAAGGATGTGTGGGTTCATTAAAGCTCTTGGAAATCCTTGTTATCTGCTTAACAGGAGAAAGGAATTTTAGAAGCTGGATTTTTCTTTCTTTTTTTTCCATATATGCCACCAAGGAATAGTAATAAGCACCAAAGCTTTGGCTTGAAGCTGTTAGTATAATGCAAGTGGAAGCATGTTTGGTTTCCTGCCCCATCATCTCTGGAGGGGCACTTTGAGTGGGCTGCACTGATCCGATCTTAGGCTCTCCCCAGCATTACCAAGTGCACTCACTCCTCTCCTGGCTTTGCTGCCAGGAAACCGGGGCTGGTTGCTGTGACTCCCCGTGCCCCTGGCAGGCTTTCAGGAGCTGCAGAGTAGCTGCTAGTGGGCTGCGTGCTCTGTACATCATGTCTGAACATGTAATGTTGCTAATCCATTTCCTGCTGATACTTACTCCATCCTCAGAATCACATTCCCTTACCCATATCGAGTGTTTATCTTTCAGGAAGATCAGAAATGTGGTTGTGAAAAGGTGGTAGGAGAGAAGAGTGCACATATCCCTGATGCATCGTGTCTTGTTTCTTCTGTGTCTTGCATACCATCATTTCCTTTCACTGCTCAGTTTCATGTTCAAGGCAGGGCAGGTCTGATGTTATGTATTTAAATAGTGGCATGTGCATGTAGACTTAGATGTCAGTAGGTATATATCAATCTGTGTAGATGCAGAGGAAATATCCTCTTGGATAGTTGGATCCGGAGCAGAAGAGGAGCCTGCCGTATTGCTGGCAGGACACGGGTAGTTCGCATGACAGATGGCCTGAGGAGGGAAGAGAGGACCCCCCTGCGTTTGGCTGTTTCAGAGCCACAGGGCATACCTCACACTTTCAGAGGGTTTCTCCCTTCCACGTGTCCCCTTTCTACATAACACAGCACTGGGTGGCAAATATCAGGAGGGGAGAGGATCCGGGCCTCCTGTGCTGCGATGGGCACAGGACATGGGTGTGCTTATCTACCTAGAAGGGGATGAGACCTCTTCAGCAGCATTTCCTGTTGTGCTGTGCGTGATAAACTTTCACAGCAGAGTGGAAAATCCAGGGGATGCGGTTGGGATATTGTAATTTGTCCTGGATTTATTTTTCCATGTATACGTGTATTTTCATGTCCTGTCTGCTCGGACCAGGCACAGAATTTGTGTCCAGTCCTGGGTTTGGTGTCTTTCCCAGAGCTGAGGGATTTTGATTGGCGTTTGCCGTGGGGGTCTTCACATGTGTGTGTGGTGCTTCAGCAAGGCAATGAATCAACAGTTTAACTATGCCCTCTTCAGGAAGTTTTCTCATCGTATAGCACTGGGCAAAGTTTTTCGTCTGCTTTATTTATACCATTAACATTGAAATGATTCTTACCCAACCTCTTTTTCCAAAGTAATTCTCCATTCAGTCTGTCTCTTTCAAAATGGAAATACCCGTCTAGTCTTTTCGGTTGCATTCCTTTGAGAGCAATACAAACAGGATACATGGAAGTTACACTTCAGCTGGCCTCAGTTGTCTGATTTCAGTGGGTCTGGAATCAGCTGACTTGTTTTTTAATTGTTCATGTCTTAAATATTTGTGATACCTTGAAAAAAACCCTTAAAAGTGGTGTTTTCATACAGCAAACACATAGTTACGATTTAGAAAGGGGAAAAGGGGAAGAGAAAGAGGGCGTGTTCCAGTACTTGCTGCTACTACTGTTTCTTATTTTGCTTTTCTTCTCTGTTCCCCAACTATCTTTATCTTTTGAAGCAGGCTAAGGCGGCTGTGAGCATTGCTGGAGCTTCTGCTTTTATGTCTTCCTTTTCCATTTCCTCATGGAAAAGAAATCTATTAACTGAATAGTTGATGGACCAACCCCCACACTCCCTGGCACAGAGATTAATATCACTGCATCTCGGCATCCTCCTGTGAGCTTCTCAGCAGAGCTAAATACACTTTTTGTTTTATTAGCATTTCTTATCTTCTTATCTGAAGTTGTCTAAGCATTTTTTCACTGTTATCAGGAGAGAACAGGAAATGGCCACAATGATGGAGACAGCCCTTAATTCTCAAAGCAGTGTGAATGGGGCCAGAGCAATAATCAGGCCAGAATCAACTCTGATCTGGCATTCACTGCATTTACTATAACTCTATGATAACCTACATCAGAACGACAATTCAAATGTCCCAGACTGTGAGAGAAACAGTGACTATCCCTGGACCCAAGCACATACCCCAGCCTTGCATTTCAGTGCCATCTATAAGAGCAACTTTTCCTTTTGGTTTTTCAATCAGCAGAGACTGAGTTTCAGTAGGGAAGCCCTACTCTCCCCTTTTCCTTCTCCTTCCCCTCCTTCTCCGTCCCCTCCCCCCCCCCCCCATGTGTTTGAAGAATTTATCCTGTGGCCCCCACCTTTTTTGAGGTGTAGACAGGATGAAAGGGAGGGTCAGGCTATATATCTGTACTGACCAGCGTGTTTCAGACAGCTTTATGGGCTAATAATGATAGTATAGGAGATGGATAGGAAAGCTAAAGGGACTACATATTGATGAATTTTTATTTCAGTTGTTCCTTTACAACAAAAGAGTACATTTCTTTTTTTATGCCTAACCCCTCAAACCTAATTAAATCAAAGTGATAATTTAAAAAGAAAACTGTAAAAGAGCCATATGTGCAGATACTTGTCTTGCCCCAGTGCAGTCTGTATTAGCAGCAGCAGCAGTTTGAAGATGCTTGGTGCGGAAAAAGTGAAATATAACATGTGAATGTACTAACCTTTTGGGATGCTCTACTTAATTGAATACCTAAACACATCTCATTGAAAAAAGGGGGGTGAAGGACTTAATTATCTTGATGCATCAGTGGACTGCTGGTATTTGATCATATCGGTGTAATAAATAGTATTTGTGTTAGTGAAATGAGGGCCAAGTAGTATTTTGTTGGGAATGGATAAGCCCGTTTAGAACATTAGTTTGTTTTAAAGTGATGTACTCTGACAGATTTCAGTGATGTTAACAAATTTGGGCTGGATGTGGTAGCCAAGACTGGCCCTGAGTAGTATTTTAGTACTGCAGTTGTCAGCGCTGAAACCAAAGCAGCCACCGGGTTTCCTTTGCTGACTGAGGTGCAATTTAAGTAGGATTAAAATGAAGTGGATGGATCTGTCTGTGGAGGAGGGATTCCTCTCTGGGAACATGAGCTAGAATCTGCGCTCCTCTTCCTCTGGCTCCAGCAACTGATTGTAAGTTATGAAAAAAGTATATACATCAAATACAGCCCCCTTCTGATAGCTTCTCAGCATTACCGTCAGTGTCATTTCTTCTTCTGTATGGTAACAATGCCTGAGTGTAGCTAAATGTTTCCACAATTACTGTGCATATTTACACTTAATAGTTTTATGTGGATCATTCATCACACAACTTTTTTCTTTCTTTCCTTTTTGTTTTTGGTAATGGTCTCAAACCGTGATTATCCACTATGTCTTGGGACTAGCTTTGTATGTGCCATCCAAATTCAGAAACAGGAAACGACATTAACCATGTTAAAAAGATTTTCCTAATTTAATTTTCCAAATACAGTACATCTGAAAACAGGAATACACTCTGTGCCAAGGCCAGGCAAATCGGTTCCATAGCTGGTTTGCGCAGCAAGAGAGGAGAAAATGTGGATTATATATATTAGACATTTACAAGTAAATATGTTGGGTTTTGTGCAAGCTAGAGTGAGGTACTGAGGTGCAGTCTGTCCAGTTCAACTGAACGGGATGTAAAGCAGCATCTCTGGGAGTTGAGAGGAACCCAGGCTGACTAGGACACCAGTTCTTTCCATACAGTAATACAGTAAATGACCAGTGTTTTGTGTTTATGTACAATACAAAGGAGAGCTGTACTTTGAAAAGTGAAGCTACATTTGGTTTGTGCTGCCAGCTAAGTAATCTTATTTCAGGTAACCTGTTTTGTAGTGAATGGATATTTTTGTTGCTTTCTAGTGTCTTTCTGGATTTTAACTCATTGGGCTTTCAATGAATCAGTTCTGGTTACTTTTTCTGGAAAAAGTCATGAAAGTTGCTTTTGCAGCTTATCAGAAAAATGTTTTAACTGCTGTTGCAAAGAAGAATTACTAGGTGAATTTGCATTGCTCAAAGTAGTGAACAGTTTGCTGTGATTTAGTCAGAGGATTTGACTCAGTGT